AGATAGGCGCTAAGTTCCTCCTAGGATGTCCGCTATATAGGCCTTGGTGAAGGCTGGTAAACCAGAATCTTTTAAAATCACAGCCAAACTATGAGTTCAACCAGAAGAACGCAATGCTGCTGCGAAAGCGGATCGATTTCAGAGCCCCTTCCACCAAAAAAGCCTTTACAGCAAGCTCGAACGATGAAAACATTCATGCCGAGGAGGACTACGAAATACGGCGCAGCAAGTCTGGTTAAGCTTTCGGGTGTAAAAACATGGGTGACTACCAGCGACCTTCTATCTTACGTACAGACGTTCTCTAGCCTAGCAAAATGTCCTTGATCCAGCCACATTACTATAACAAGCCACTGGTTTATCAATGGGACGCGCTTCTTAAGAAAACAGGCGTCACGCTTGATCTACATTAGTGACTATGATATGCATCTATTTATCGAAGAAGGGAATGCGTGGGGGGATTTCAATAGTCTGCAAGACGTTATGCTAGAGCTAACAATCCACTTGTTGAAGTTATAAATACAAGCCACACAAGCCCACCACCTATCTGCTAGTACCTTGACGACTAACAATCTATATCGGTTGGGCTACGAGTCAAGCCATGACCAACTGGAGGATTCCAGTGGATTGATGACACCATGAACGGGTGTTGGAAACAACAAAATCGTAACAGGGCCAAGGCCCCCTAGAAGATGCCGTAGGCGAAAGGACAACAAGTTATATCCTAGAAGTTAGAACCTCGAGTATCCACAACATCTACAACAACAAGCTAGCCATAATTGCATATCCGCTTGCACCTGAAAGATGGGATAGTTCAAGAGCATTGGTTGTCAAACTATCAGAACATATATATTAAACGGGCGCGTCACTAGGGAAGGTTTTCAAGCTCGCCACCGACCCTATGCGATTAAAAAAGCGCTAACGTGCTGCGCCTACCGCAACCTTACAGCTTTATACCTATCTCTCGGCATGAAGCTGAAAAAAAAGTGCACCGCTACGCTACGATTTGACCAAAGCCCCAGGATGACAGAGAACGATACATTTGCGATGAACAACTGAGTGCGAAAGAAGGCCCACGTCATCACGTCCCCCCCCCCCGAAAAGGACCTATTCAAGGGGGCTGATGAATAACAGTGTCTTCGGTATAGACCATGGAGAAACTTACTAAAGCTGTGTGATGAAAGACAAAAAACTGCGAAAGCTAATAGCGAGCCCTGCATGTGCAAGGGGGGAACTATTTGACAATGATCTGTGCATTAGAGTAAAACTTATGCTGAATCGCCCTAGCCCAGTTTATGTTGGAATGAGTATCTCAGATTTATCCAAACACCTTGTGGTATGATTTCTACTACAACCAAGCATGAATCACGGAACGCACGATATGAGGAGCGTATGCCAGCTAACCTACAACAGATCCTCGCACTCTTCTACTACTTGAGATCCAGACTGAAAGGATATATATCAAGACATGCTGGGAATGTAATGTAATGTAATGTTTAATGAAACTCTTGGCATAAGAACTGAATTACAGAGTAGAATACAAGGTATAATATAAACTATTGAATGAACTGGATGTGCTAATTTTTAACCGACACCAAGCGACTATCCGGAACGAACACCCACTCTATAGGCATTTAACAAAAAGAATGAAAAAGGAAAGATGAATGTCGCTTGGGTGTACCGATCGGTGTGGATATGTAGTCCTAAGAAAGAAGATGTATTCGATTCTCGATAATGGTCTTGGTATGTCACGGAATGATCGAAAAAAGGATTCGAAAAGCGAAAGGCGTTTAAAAAAGAATGTAGTGAAAAAGCAGCTGAGGCATGAACAATACAAGGAGGCTCTCTTTGAAAGGAAGACCTTCAGGCATGGAATGGATATGCTGCGAAGCGATAGACACCAGATATATGGCATGCATGTGAACAATGTCTCACTGTCGCCAGATTGACAGCAAGCGCTGGATTGCTGAAAACGGAATTGAGACATTTGCATATGGTTATAAAGATCTCAACGAACACTAACAAGTGGAAGCTGGTGTCATAAGGTATTATAAGTAGCTCCTCTCGGACAAATCCACGCTTTGGGGCGCCCTCAGTGAGGATAGTACAGAACAGGTTGACTGGGATAAAGCGATCCGCCTGACTTTCGCAGTAAGACCGGAAGTCCAAGAATCTTGCCGTCTGTTAGTTGAAACATGGGGTCGTACACATGCGCAGTAGAGCCGGAAGTCCTAGAATCCGGTCATGGTGGATCGCTTTATCCCAGAGGTCCTTGTTGGCCGCTCCACCACTGGACAAGGGTTAAACGAGGACTCTGGGAACGAGATTGTTCTGAAGGTATTGGCTTTTCACCACCTTCAAGTTCCCCAGCTGCGTATTAAATAGCAAACAAGTACGTTAAAAGGCAATCGCTCTTCAGTAAAACTCACTGGTCTATTATAATAGGGTGCTTTTATACCCACCTCAGAAGCCTGAATATACCTTTCTGGGGCCTTACCTGTCAATCGTGTCACTTCACTGTTCATTGCTTTCAAAACAGCTGGCACACGCTCCACCCATTCTACCGATCTTTGTCCTTGGAACGACTGTTCCTGTTGGAACTGTGTTTGCAGCCTGAATGTCATCTTTTTGCAGCGTTTGCGCGCGTTCCAACTCAAAGGCTTTCTGAATTTGTTTTGACCACATACCGCACGAAGTGCAAGTCGGGACGTCGCGCACGTATTAAATAATTATATTAAATTTGTTAAATATGAACTTACATTGTCCATTCAATATGGTTTTTCTTGCAATCGACGCTGATTCAAGTAACTATACGATTTATTTCGATCCACCCATTATAGCACCACGCTTTGTTACCCTGTTATCAGCTTCGATATATAACTCATGGCATAAACTGACACGCGCGGGCCGTTTTACATTTGAGAAGGGTGGCGCGACTGAAAAAGTAACATTTAGTCCAGATCACTACAATCTCGAGTCTTTTGCAAACACTTTAGAGGCCATTTTGCAGGAAAACCACTTTAGAGTAAACAACATATAATCCCACTGGTGTTGATGCTGAAACGGACAGGCAGTGGTAGCTTTGAAACCGACCTGGGCGAACTCATCGGATTACCCCTCCATCATAAAATCACGCTCAACGATTTTCAGGTGGCGCGATTAACCTCTTCCAGCCGCTACTACATTCACGTAGACCTTCTTTATCAAAAGCAAAACCGCCACAACGGTAAGCCGTCTATCATATTTGCTTGTGCTGATATTCGAGGAAAACCCTACGAAAAGGTACGTTATTCACAGTTTGTTACCCCTACACCAAAATACACTCACTCACGATAGGCGTCCGTGATGAAAGATGACGAATTGTTTGACTTCAATGCCCTGCCTTTGCACTTCGAATTCGAAATTACATCTTAAAGGAAATAGTATGGAACATAGAAAACATTAAAATTTCCATAGAGACATTGAAAACACCAGCAGTGCAGAAACATCCTTATCCTGTTGTTCCCGTCGTTCCATCGTTCAGACTGCTCCCGCTTATCACTGTCACGCTAGCCACAAGCAAGCAAAATACGATTAGCGAGCTCGTTTCTAAATCATTGAACGACGGTGAAAATATCTGATCGCGAGTTCTCTATGAGAAATATCATGCTTTGAAAGCCGATCTCCGCCTGTCCTTCGGACGGTTCCGACAAGAGTCAGAACAGCCGAGGACGGCGGCAGTGGAAAAATCCAGTCCGCGAAGAGGTGTAGAAAGAACTCCGGCAGGAAATTCAAAAACAATTAGGAAGCATAGATTGGAATGGAGTGTTCGGTTTGAACAAAACGGTTTCGTTTAAAAACGAAATAAGTTTCGCGCTTTGCGTGACGAAAGAACGCGTGATACGAGGATTGCGTTACAGTCATGGACAAAAATGACAGAACCCTGGTCGGGGACGTTCGATTGGCTGTTTCTTGCCTTGCTTCTTGCTAGGACTTTTTTTGTCTCACCGGAGTGAGGACTTAACCGCTGACAAGGCGATAGTCGTATCAGCCATTTTACCACTGGCTCAGTGGTTGAATTCCCCGGGGGTTTCCTTGAGCGTCCCCCAGTTATTAACTGAGGGTCCCGGCGGTTTCAACCAGGCTTTCCCTAGTTAACAGATAATTGCCTATACCGGTAATGAGAGATATGCATGTGCCTTTTTGGGATTCAAGGGGGGCCAGTCCCAACCTCCAAGAATACTACCAATTACTCACTAAACTGTAAGTACCTTCATTCACCTATATATTTTGTTCAAGTTCGGCCTTCCAAACATTGTGGTAGCAGCATGTACGCATGCATTTTGCGAACCGGCAGCTAAGCAATACCGCTGTGTTAGAGATTGATGTTTTCAGAATAAATTAAGTAGTCGGCGAAAATTATTCTAATTATTTCATTCAATTTTGTATGCTTTAACCGAGCTTTGTACGCCGGTTTGGCAGAGAGGAGGTAAGACAAATTACGGCTGAAATCATACTAGAGTCATAAAAGAAGCTGAAAAAGCGACGGATGAAACAATTAGAAATATTCGGCGGATTTCATAAACCTTCTTTATTATTTTCATTTCTCCAACTACTCTCGCAAATATATTGCTAGGGAGCTTTCACACATGGAGTCCTGCGATCCTCTATATGATGTTCTAAATTACATTTTATCTTGAGGCTTTTGCCTTTACCCATATATAAGGAATTTTTGATTTTGATGACAAAAAATGTTTAAATGCAATTTGGTGAAAATGAATAACTGTCGCCATGTTGTATTTTTCAGTGGTATATAAATTATGATAAATCTCTAAATTGGCTTGAATAAGGTTCAGATAAAAACCGTGTTTTACTTTACAAGTCAGTTACATGAAAGACCATCGCAGTTATGTACGCAACTTAAGCAGTTTAACTTACCGCTTAAGTTGCGTACATACCTGCGATGGCCTTTCGTGTATTAAATATTATAGTATTACGAACTCACAGTGACCAGCTACCAGTTGGGATTCATAGCTCAGTTGGTAGAGCACTGCACCGGTATCGCAGAGACCATGATTCGAACCTCGTTCAAGACTGAATGCTTTTCAGGCATAACTGCGATGGTCTATCATGCATTATATATTTCACCCGCACCTTAAATGCGGTAAGTCCTCGAATAAGCACCACGTTGCTATAGGAACCAATTTGCACATTAATACTTGTTTCAGTTTGTGAAACATGTTCGGCGAACCAAAAATAATTACGATTTACCAAGAATGCGCTATTAGAAACTGTACGTACAGCTTTGTGTATTAATACTCAGGTTGTGGACGTTGTTTATGCGCAAATGTTATATTAAAAAAAAAATCGTTCTGGCCAAGATTTGGAAATAATCACCCTGGGCGCTTACTTGAGGATTTACGGTATATGATATTTCATATATTCACTTCGACCACTCAGTAAATACTTATAGATACACAAACTTTCAGTACAACTTCTGCTTAATAACAACTTAAAATCACTACAAATATCTCAAACAACCTTCCAAAATATGCTTGAATATTTGTCTACTAGATGTGTACTTGACACGAGGCAAGAAAATTCCTCCCTTTTAATGACATATATAGAAATGAAAAAAAGAACAATAGACAACTGCGAGCAAGATCTTCGCATTGCCAAAGAACTGGGACAGAGAGATGAAGAAGCAGCTGCCTATGGCAATCTTGGCAATGCTTATCAGAGTCTGGGCCACTTTAAACAAGCCATAGAGTACCACAAAGAAATTATTAGCATTGCCAAAGAACTTGGGCAGAGAGATGAAGAAGGACGTGCCTATTGCGGTCTTGGCAATGCTTATCGGAGTCTGGGCGACTTTAGACAAGCGATAGAGTATCACAAGCACCAACTTAGCATTGCCAAAGAACTTGGGCAGAGAGATGGAGAAGGAAGTGCCTATTGCGGTCTGGCAATGCTTATGAGAGTCTGGGCGACTTTAAACAAGCCATAGAGTATCACAAGCAAGATCTTAGCATTGCCAAAGAACTTGGGCAGAGGGGTGGAGAAAGAGTTGCCTATGGCAGTCTCGGCAATGCTTATCAGGGTCTGGGCGACTTTAAACAAGCCATAGAGTATCACAAGCAACATCTTAGTATTGCCAAAGAACTGGGGCAGAGGGATGAAGAAGGAGTCGCCTATGGCAATCTTAGCAATGCTTATCAGAGTCTGGGCCACTTTAAACAAGCCATAGAGTACAACAAAGAAATTCTTAGCATTGCCAAAGAACTTGGGCAGAGAGATGAAGAAGGACGTGCCTATTGCGGTCTTGGCAATGCTTATCGGAGTCTGGGCGACTTTAGACAAGCGATAGAGTATCACAAGCACCAACTTAGGCATTGCCAAAGAACTTGGGCAGAGAGATGGAGAAGGAAGTGCCTATTGCGGTCTTGGCAATGCTTATCAGGAGTCTGGGCGACGTTAAACAAGCCATAGAGTATCACAAGCAACATCTTAGTATTGCCAAAGAACTGGGGCAGAGGGATGAAGAAGGAGTCTCCTATGGCAATCTCGGCATTTCTTATCGGAGGCTGGGCGACTTTAAACAAGCCATAGAGTATCATAAGCAAGATCTTAGCATTGCCAAAGAACTTGGGCAGAGGGGTGGAGAAAGAGTTTGCCTATGGCAATCTCGGCAATGCTTATCAGGGTCTGGGCGACTTTAAACAAGCCATAGAGTATCACAAGCAATATCTTAGCATTGCCAAAGAACTTGGGCAGAGAGATGGAGAAGGAAGTGCCTATTGCGGTCTTGGCAATGCTTATCAGAGTCTGGGCGACTTTAAACAAGCCATAGAGTATCACAAGCAACATCTTAGCATTGCCAAAGAACTTGGGCAGAGGGGTGGAGAAAGAGTTGCCTATGGCAGTCTCGGCAATGCTTATCAGGGTCTGGGCGACTTTAAACAAGCCATAGAGTATCACAAGCAACATCTTAGTATTGGCCAAAGAACTGGGGCAGAGGGATGAAGAAGGAGTCGCCTATGGCAATCTTAGCAATGCTTATCAGAGTCTGGGCCACTTTAAACAAGCCATAGAGTACAACAAAGAAATTCTTAGCATTGCCAAAGAACTTGGGGCAGAGAGATGAAGAAGGACGTGCCTATTGCGGTCTTGGCAATGCTTATCGGAGTCTGGGCGACTTTAGACAAGCGATAGAGTATCACAAGCACCAACTTAGCATTGCCAAAGAACTTGGGCAGAGGGATGGACAAGGAAGTGCTTATTGCGGTCTTGGCAATGCTTATCAGAGTCTGGGCGACTTTAAACAAGCCATCGAGTATCACAAGCAACATCTTAGTATTGCCAAAGAACTGGGGCAGAGGGATGAAGAAGGAGTCGCCTATGGCAATCTCGGCATTTCTTATCGGAGGCTGGGCGACTTTAAAACAAACCATAGAGTATCATAAGCAAGATCTTAGCATTGCCAAAGAACTTGGGCAGAGGGATGGAGAAAGAGTTGCCTATGGCAATCTCGGCAATGCTTATCAGGGTCTGGGCGACTTTAAACAAGCCATAGAGTATCACAAGCAAGATCTTAGCATTGCCAAAGAACTTGGGCAGAGAGATGGAGAAGGAAGTGCCTATGGCAATCTCGGAAATGCTTATCAGAGTCTGGGCGACATTAAACAAGCCATAGAGTATCACAAGCAACATCTTAGTATTGCCAAAGAACTGGCGCAGAGGGATGAAGAAGGAGTCGCCTATGGCAATCTCGGCAATGCTTATGAGGGTCTGGGCGACTTTAAACAAGCCATAGAGTATCACAAGCAACGTCTTAGCATTGCCAAAGAACTTGGGCAGAGAGATGAAGAAGGAAGTGCCTATTGCAGTCTTGGCAATGCTTATGAGGGTCTGGGAAACTTTAAACAAGCCATAGAGTATCACAAGCAGGATCTTAGCATTGCCAAAGAACTTGGGCAGTGGGATGAAGAAGGAGTCGCCTATTTCAATCTCGGCAATGCTTATCAGGGTCTTTAAACAAGCCATAGAGTATTACAAGCAAATACGTAGCATTGCCAAAAGAACTTGGGCAGAGGGATGGAGAAGGAAGTGCCTATTGCGGTCTTGGCGACGCTTATGAGAGTCTGGGCGACTTTAAACAAGCCATAGAGTATCACAAGCAAGCTCTTAGTATTGCCAAAGAACTTGGGCAGAGGGGTGGAGAAGGAGTTTGCCTATGGCAATCTCGGCAATGCTTATCAGGGTCTGGGCGACTTTAAACAAGCCATAGAGTATCACAAGCAACGTCTTAGCATTGCCAAAGAACTTGGAAGAGATATGGAGAAGGAAGTGCCTATTGCGGTCTGGGAAATGCTTATGAGCGTCTGGGCGACTTTAAACAAGCCATAGAGTATCACAAGCAACATCTTATCATTGCCAAAGAACTGAGGCAGAGGGGTAGAGAAGGAGTTGCTTATGGCAATCTCGGCAATGCTTATCAGGGTCTGGGCGACTTTAAAACAAGCCATAGAGTATCACAAGCAATATCTTAGCATTGCCAAAGAAGTTGGGCAGCGAGATGGAGAAGAAATTGCCTATTGTGGTCTTGGCGATGCTATAATAGTCTGGGCAACTTTAAACAAGCCATAGAGTATTACAAGCAAGAGCTTAGCATTGCGCAAGAACTTGGGCAGAGGGATGGAGAAGGAGGTGCCTATGGCAATCTCGGCAATGCTTATCAGGGTCTGGGCGACTTTAAACAAGCCATAGAGTATCACAAGCAACTTCTTAGGATTGCCAAGGAATTTGGGCAGAGGGATGGACAAGGACGTGCTTATTGCGGTCTTGGCAATGCTTATCAGCGTCTGGGCGACTTTAAACAAGCCACAGTGTATCACAAGCAATACCTTAGTATTGCCAAAGAACTGGGGCAGAGGGATGGACAAGGACGTGCTTATTGCGGTCTTGGCAATGCTTATCTGAGTCTGGGCGACTTTAAACAAGCCATAGAGTATCACAAGCAACATCTTAGTATTGCCAAAGAACTGGGGCAGAGGGATGAAGAAGGAGTCGCCTATGGCAATCTCGGCATTTGTTATCGGTGTCTAGGCGACTATAGACAAGCTATAGAGTACCACAATCAACATTTTAGCATTGCCAAAGAACTTGGGCAGAGGGATGGAGAAGGAAAGTGCCTATGGTCATCTCGGCAATGCTTATCAGAGTCTTGGCGACTTTAAACAAGCCATCGAGTATCACAAGCAACATCTTAGTATTGCCAAAGAACTGGGGCAGAGTAATGAACAAGGACTTGCTTATTGCGGTCTTGGCAATGCTTATCGGAGTCTGGGCGACTTTAAACAAAGCCATAGAGTAATCACAAGCAACATCTTAGCATTGGCCAAAGAACTTGGGAAGAGGTTTGGAGAAGCATTGTCCTGTTATTTGCTAGGTAATGCTTTTGAATTCTCGGGTGCTTTGCATGAGGCTCTTGATTATTATCGATTCAGTGTTAAACTGTGCAATGAAGTGAGAGCTCTTCTTCAGTCGGAAGATGTGTGGAAGATATCATTTCGTAATGAGTGTCAACATGCCTACACTGCTCTTTGGAGAACTCTGTTAAAGCTTCAAATGACTGACGAGGCCTTGCGTATTGCTGAGCAAGGACGAGCACAGGCCTTGACGGATCTCATGAAATTTCAGTACGGCTCTGAATTTCTAGCGTTTGAATCTCAAAGAACGATCTCTGACCTAGTAAGTGATATATCTACACAAACGGTTTTTGTAGCACTGGAAAGTGACACCATTAATCTATGGGTAGTCAAGGGTACAGATGTCCATTTTGCAAAAAAGAGGTTCGAAGATGCTAAATTTCGGGTGGAAAAAGGCTTTCAGAGAAATTGGCGTTCAAGTTGGTGTTCAGTGTGAGAATCGTTCATTGTATCATCCAGAACGTACCGTACCCGCGCGCAAGAAAGAGTCTTGTCAGAAAATAGCACACCACACAAAACATATCTCTGCGCCAGTTATTTGATTTTATAATCAGCAGCCCAATTGCAAACATGCTTGAAGGTGATGAGTTAATCATTGTACCAGATGGTCCACTA